ATAATCTTTATCCAATAATATATGAGATATTTATAATCCAATAATAAAATATTATGACGAAAGGTCATTATATAACAATATTCTGCTCTATATATAATAAAAATCATAAAAAAGAAAATATAAGAAATTTTATAGAGGATATTTGGGTAGTGATAAATGTTATGGCAAAAAAACTTATCATCTTTACTGCTATACAAATAAATATCAGAATTCAATCCACATAGTAAGTATAAAAGCATAAGTTGACTTTGATAATGCATATATAAATACAGAGTATCCTGCTTTGCAGACAATAAATCATTTTCCGTGATCACATGGAATTGTTTTCTTGGGGCTTCATGTCACATGCATGCGAATTATTAACACGCAATACAAATTAGGAAAGCCTTTAGTATAATAACAAATTATAACTTTATTAATAGTACATATTGATATAAAAATAAACCAGATGAAGCGTGAGCTCAAGCTCACAAACGCAGTAAATGGCGCAGTAGAACCATCTATATACCTTTTCTTAAATTTAATAAATGCGTTCACAATAATAACAATCGTCACAATAGAAGTTTGGTTACCTGCGGAAGACTTATTAGTTTCCAATATTGGGCGCATCAAGAACAAAAAAGATATAATTTTAAGATCGGGTGTTTGCAAGAGGTCTGATTATATACCAACAGTTTTTAGAATTAATGGTATTCGTAAACATACCCGTGTTCATATTTTAGTTGCACGAGCCTTTGTTCCTAATCCAGAAAATAAGCCTTATGTTAACCACATTAATGGCATCAAACATGATAATCGGGCTGTTAATTTGGAATGGGTAACTCCTAAAGAGAATGCTGAACGTAAGGTATTCCCAAATCGTGGTCGTGGTAACTCTAGGTGGATCGTACAGAAAGAAATAGATGGGGGAGTTATTCAGATTTGGGATTGTATTCGCCTCGCTGGTAATACGCTTAAAATCGCAGAAAATAGCATTTCGGAATGTTGTAGCGGAAAGCGAAATACTGCCGGTGGTTGGTGTTGGATGTATTATGAAGATTATATACCACAGGATCCTAACGAAGAATGGAGAGAAATAGAATATAAATTACGAAAGTTCAAAGTTTCATCTCTAGGAAGAATTCAGTTAACGAATGGTGCAATCACCCAAGGATCATTATACGAAGGATATTTTCGATTTAACCAATGCTATATTCACCGTTTGGTAGCATTAGCGTTTTGTTCAAAAGAAGAAGGCAAAAATTGTGTAAATCATATTGATGGTAATCGTACCAACAATAAAGCATCCAATCTCGAATGGTGTACACAAAAGGAAAATACCCAACATGCCGTATGTCTTAAGCTTTGGGGTCATTGTCGCAAACGTGCTATCAGGCAGATTTTCGATAATGGATCTTTCCGAGAATTTCTATCCTTAGCTGAAGCACAACGCATAACTGGAATTAAAAGTCAAAATATCGGATTAGTATGTCGAGGACTTCAAGCTCATGCTGGAGGATATCATTGGGAGTATGTAAGCACAATATCGCATAATAATCATGAAGATTTTTCACAGTAACATAGACCTTCCGGATATTGCATGAAATTTATTTTTTTGCGATATAAAGAAAAAGAAATAATATGGTCAATGCATTTGAAGATATCTCTCCGTTTCTGTAATCCTCATTTAACATTTTTGCGATTTATTGATGATAAGTATAAATACATTGATTAACTTGATTTGTTCAAAGTGAATAAAAGGACTTACTGATCAATCTTACCGTGTATTATAGCAATACTCACGGTCCAAGAATTGAATTCAGAATTTTTCCGTCACATAAAGGTAATTATGAACCTGTAGGAAAAAATAATACATAATCGCAAAATGGTAATAATGAAGAACACTTATACTTAGCCCCCACAGTGATTAGTAATGCAAATCGAGATCTCTGAATGTTCAGCTGAAAAGCAAGTTTAATTAACAGATTAACGGATTAATACAAATCCACAACCACATATGAAAATTTTTTTTGTATAAAAAATTAATGCAAATATTGGTCGTTGCAGTTTATTAACTTGAAGTATAAAACTTTATTGATAATATCTTAAAAATATAGTGCTGATGCCCATTACATATCATGCTTTTCTTCTTACATACTATCACTTCCAGCAAAGTTTATGCATACATTGACGAAAAAGAAGGAATATTTCTAACAATTTCTGAAGCAACTCCAACTTTATGACGCCAGATTTCTTCCTTTGACATAACATCGTATACATCTTCAATCCGAGCAATATCATCTTCACTTATGGTTCTATCAGGTAACAAAGTACTTAACTTGACACGTTTGGCAGCCGGAATGATGATTGATGTATTCTCCCGATTTGCTTTGGGTTTGTCTCTTAAGAGTTCACTTAATACTTGAATTGCAACATTCCGACTTGGTGCGTTCCAACTCTTTATTGTCCTATCATCTTCCAACCAGAAAATTTGCCAATCATCTGTGAGGTCTGATATGATTCCAAAAACGATCCTACTTTTGGGGGTAATCAAATCAGCAATTACCATTTCTAAAATGACTTGCATCACATGATTCCTCTCGATCTTTTTTTTCAACTCCAGAACTGCATAAATACTTTCTGGAATCAAACGGCTTGAAACATCATAATTATTCACAACCACTACATCAATTCCACCATGAACATTAAATGGTAACCTGGAGTCCTTATACACGTATAGTAAGCTGTGGTTACCCCCAACATCATACCAAATACGACCATTGGCCAAAGGAATGTATTTGTGTAACCATTTCAAATATTCATCTTTATGGGCCGGTTCTGACTTATCCTTCCATTCGAAAGCTGGTGGTGATGCATTACTATAAATGGGGATATTGTTGAAGGGGACATTTTCAATGTCGAGATTAAGATGGTTTTTTAAAAGTTGAAAGTTTTCTGTATTGATTTTGGAGATGGATATAGTCTCAATAGTTGGTTGAGTAAGTTTACTATGCATTTCATGAATTTCGGTGATTACATCTTGTGAAAGGTAGGGAGATGCTTGATTAATCGATTAGGAGAATAAAAAAATGTGGAAAGAAGTAAAAAGCCAAAGTTAGTCAAAGTATACCGACGCTCCAATAAACAGATGGATGGGATATAGATTAGTCTACGTCGAAAATATAGTAATAATTTTTTTTTTATTGCGACAATCAACAGGGTATTATTAGATCATTATTTACCTTCTTCGCCTTTAAGAGTTTTAATCAAATATGCGATTGATTCTGCTGGTCCTCGAGATAAGCCATCTTGCATAAGTTTTTCTTCGTTTAAACGTAGGAATGCCTGACCGGCGACCCAATTATCCTCAATTATTTTGATATCTTGCTCCCTGAGATATAAATCATTTTTCCTGGACTTTAGGAAAGTAATAACCTGCTCAGGACTCCATTTCTTGATTTCTTCAATACTTGGAGTTGTTGAAGTGACCTCTCTGCCTTCCGTAGATGAAATAATTTTAGTGTGTTCAACATCCTCCATAGAAACTATTATGTCGATAAAATGAGTTGCTTCTTTACAAAAAATATTCGCAATACGCTACTTTACCTGTAGATGGTTCTCTTGGGAAAGTCGATGCTTTTTCCTCGGATTTTTCTTTACCTTTCGAAGATGCACCAACATTAATAGTTTGAACGTCCTCCTTGGGAGCTATTTTGTCAAGAACAATGAGTGGGATATTTACAAAACTGCTCACAATAACATCCACTTACCTGTTGGATTTTTTCTTCTTTCTTGTCATTATTAAGGAAAGTGTTACGGAGCACAGAATGAGCTACGTATACATTTACAGTATACGATATACAGACGCAGTAAGTGGCGCAGTAACCGGCATATCAATATCGTCCGAACTTAATCTAAAGATTGATGCTGTAAAAGTTTTAACCTGACTTATTTTTTCTTTACCAACCGCATCAAAAAGCTTATAAAGTTTTCTGGCCTTTTCAGTTCTTTTACGAAGAGCCTCCTTTGTAATTTTGTTAGGAATCTGAGTACGTAGCTCGAGATTGAGAAGAGCTCTAGACGCACTACTATTATGAGTTTTTTTAAGTTCTTTATGTCGTTCTTTTAAAGCTTTGCCAAAGTCAAAATACCGACTAATTACTTCTCGATTCGTAGTATCATTTTTCGATTCAGCATGGGTGATCATACTAAAGAAATATAAAAAATTATGAGGCTGGGATTCACCACTGGATTTTTCATTACTCCCCTCTTCAGAAATTTCGGAAATATCGGCGGACAATTCTTTGATGAGTCTTTTCAGAACACCGGATTCTTTCTCTTCTTTCTCATCTTCACGAGGTTTTTTGCTGGGCCTGACTTCCATTTTAGCCATATTAATCTCGTTTGCTTGAAGTAAAAATTGCGGTTCTGAGCCAGTAAAAAAATTACCGCAATCAGGGCAAATTGGGTCTGGTTTATTTACAAGAAATTTCTCAACACATGTTCGATGGACCACATGCCCGCAGGTTAAAATAGTAATCGGTGTAGGGGGTGTCGAAAGAATTTTGCCTTTACAGCGTATACAGGGTTTCTGTTCAGGAATTGTGATATCATTGAACTTGATTTCGTCGGATTGTTTTAGTATATTTAGTGCGAGGATTTTAATTGATTCATTGCGATATAAATAAGTAGAGGCTATTATCTCAGCTTCGGTCAACCGCTCTCGTGAATCCGCATTTTCGATTTCAGTCAACTCCTCTAGCGAATCTGTGGTTTCGAATTGGGCTTCTGTAAGATGTTCTGAGGGAGCGGGCGAAGTCTCGCTGGCCATATTAGATGGCTTAATAAGTAAATCCCGAAAGCTAAGTATAATTTGTTTTTATATAGTATATTTCTCGCCATTAATAAAACCAATTTCAGATATTATGAAAACTAATTTCGGATTTGGTGATCCGTTCATTGATAAATTAATTGCTTTGGATCGGAATCACTTAATTTTTACAGGTAATCGTAGATGATTTCAGCTGAAAAGCAAAGATTAGCATTAATTTCACAAAACAACGACTAATTAGCTTAGTCTCTTGCACATCTTACAAGCGTGCCTTTTTTCAACACGCGTTATATGATCGACATGCCAGAAATAGGCATACATAGCAATGATTTATTGCAAAGCAATGGGTATAATTTCGAGTTTGTATATCTCGGATGACTATTATTAAAAATTTATTATCGAAAAAGCAATTATCATATGCCGAACGATATACTACAGTCTCCACTCCACGAGATGATCAGGCATAATTTTTTATTTATTACATATTTTTTATCGTGTAGATTTATCATGTATTTTATTATGTATCCTGTATTTTTAACGTATATATATCCCGTATTTTTATTAATAAAGATTTTTGATTAGAGGAACGTACAATGTGTCATGTGTTATTTTTCGTGTAATGTATAACAGTAATTTTTTCGAAATATTTTTCTTGGCAAAAGTGATCGGCGTTCCGAAAAAGAACGCGCACGTGATTTCTCAAACTTTTGAACATATCTGGATCCTATATAAAACGATGGCAAACACACAATCTAAAATCGATTCATTAGAAGAACAGATTTCCAAGCTTGTAACTGAGAATGATAAACTTAAACGGGAGAATGCCAAGATTCCTGAACTTAGAAAAAAATTTGCTGAAGTTGAAGCTGAGAATACCAAAGTCAAAGTTGAAAATATGAAATTAAAACAAACTTTGGAAGAACATGAAACCAGATTCACAAAACTGGAATACGACGTTTCACTAATTAAGGAAGACAAGAATGTAATTCCAATAAGTGAAGAAGTAGCTATTTCTCCTGAAATTAATTTTGATAATACTCCCACAGAATTTATTTTGCCACTTATTGAAAGTCAGTCTGAGGAGGAGAAAGTTATTATTCCCAATCCCATGCCTGAACATAACTCGATCCAGGTTCAAAGGAGCGAATCTAAATCTCTATCAGAACCTGGAATATTCACAACCTCTTTATGTATCACAGGGCCAAGACATTATCGATGACGATACAGCTGAGACCCTTGATTTTGTAGAAACGGTATATAAGGAAAGTGTTAGTAAAGAGATAATGGAGAGAATTAGAGAAAAGAAGATGCGAGACCAAAATCCATCTTTGGACAGTACTTTATCTAATGTATCATGTGACGATCAAAATTTGAAATCTGAGATAAATACCACCATCGAAACTACCCAATTAGAACCAAGCCCTATCGATCAAGTGCAAAGTAACATTACTTCTGAAATAAAAATTCCATATAATCAAAAAGTAGAACAGGGTCTAATGGGTGAATTATCTGGTTACAGTAAGGAGAATATCGCTATACAAGACGTGGATATACAAATTCCTAATCTTCCTCTAGAGACAATATTAATAGGATCTGATGAAGTTACTGATGAGATTATAGTAGACTTGTTTAATACGGCAATGAAAACTAGACAAAAAGAAAATTTATGCTGGTATTGTTATACTAAAGCATATGAAAATCGAGTCATATATATTAAATCCACGAATAATATCGATGACCAATCAGCTAGAACACTGGTATATAATGAAATCAGATTGCTTCTTCCCAGTATATCCGATGTAAATTTGCGTAAGAGAACTTTCAAAGCTAAAAAAGTTTATACATTGTTTGAAGAGATAGGAATAGATATGATTAGGCAAATAACTTACAGTGCAAATACTATTTCAAGCCTAACAGATATTCAGATTCAAAATATTATAAATCATTTCCGTAAAAGGACCATTAACATAAATGATACAATCAATTGCCAAGAAGTGATCAGTGTTCCGAAAAAGAACGCGCACGTGACTGAACCATCGAGCTCAAATGATTTATCAAGCATTAAGATAAGTGAGGAAGTCAAGATAAGCATATTATCTATACCTCAAACCGAAAAGAAAGCTTTCAAGTCTATAAATCCCGTTTTGCCAAAAATCCAGGCAAATATATCTACCAAATCTATTTCTATTGATTCGGAAAAATTACCAAATACCGAAGTAAGTATATCCCAGATAAATACATCTAACAAATCCCGACCTTCAATTTCTGTTTTACCTGATGACCCAAAAGAGAAACAAAAACATGTTATCAAAATGGCATTGGAACGGTTTCCCGTTTTATCTTTGAAATATAGTAATGAATCTGGCGATTATTTTAACAGTTCAGTATCCTGCCCTTTATGCAATAAAGATCATAAAAAAGAAAATATAAGAGATAATGTAAAGGGTGAATGGGGTAGTGGTGATTATGTTAATACAAAAACTTATCGTCTCAAATGCTGGAAGGCTTATCAAAATTCAATCCAAATAGTAACTGTGAAAGCATAGACCACTGATTATATGACATGATCTGATGATTAATATACAGTATATATTTTTTTGCTGGATAAGCATCACGCGTTATTTATCGGGTGCATCAAGTCGTACCGGAAAATTAAATCATGTTTGCACGATGTTTGTAGCACATCCGAAATAGATCTTACATGCTCGAAATAGATTTCATATGCCCGAAATAGATTTCACATGTCTGGAATAGATTTTTCATGTAACAATCATGAAAGTTGATTAATATACTCAATTAATTATTGTTTATACTGGATAATATATATACAATATATATACAAACAATTTTTTATATAAATAGCAATGCCTGAATTCGAGAAACTTTACTTCCCATACTCTAATACACAAATTGCACTTTCTCTGAAAGATTTATCATACCATAAAAATAGCCACTCTGTAACTACCTTTGGTAATATATATACTCTGAACCCATCCCATCCAATACATACAAAATTTACTACTCGGCATAAGCCAGTATGTCACCTTATACTAGCTCCACTAAAATACCAAAAATACAGTATAAGCTAATGCTGAAAACTCAATATATCAACCTATATGAGTTACAGACTTGTTTCTAAATAGTCTGATCGCATTAGTAACATATCATCCGAAACTTTTCACAGCTCTAAAGAGTTATGCCCTATATTTTTCGGTATGGGAGCAAAACCTATAAACTCTATACTATGTATAACTATATCAAGTTTTATAATTTTCACAGTAATTTGCTGTTTTATAATTTGTGGTTCTTGGATCATAAATAAATATGATATCATAATATAGAAAATAATTTTGAGCTTTCATTAAAGAGATGGTCCGAGAATCGAATCTACACTAAAAATGAATCCAGCATTTAAAGTTTTAAGTTTACTTAATAAGATCCAATTCTCGAAGATGTTCTGGAATAACTATATATGGATCTTCATAATACCAGACATACCTTAAAGCAATCCAGTTTTCTTCACACAATTCTTTCTTGAGTTGATCTCGCTCTTGCTGTTTAATAAAATTATTGGGATCACCATTATGAAAGAATTCGATATATTTTTCATGTTGCACTCCTTGTACTTCAATTGCAAAACCATATTCAGGATAAAATATATCAAGTTCTAAACCTATGGAATGTTCTGGTGTTTTTAAGAATTCAGACCTGCGGGTTAGTGAAGGAGATCCAAGATATTCTGTTAAAATTTCACAACATAACTTTTCTCTTTTATATTTAGGGCAGAATGGACACCAGGTATTTTGATCTTTAACAACATTAAGCGTTGCATACCATATATGTCCTTTAACACATTTCCATAATAGATCTGAATAGTTATTAAAATATAAGGTAGAGAGACACTCACCATTCCGGCTAAATGCAATTTGCTTGGCTTGATCAATATTACAAGCATATCGTCCAGAACAATGGGGACACCATGAATTTGCATTTTTAATGCTATTAAATGTTGCATTCCATTCATGCCCTTTAGAACAACGCCACAATAAAGCTGTCATGCTATTAATATATTTTTCAGAAAGACATTTTCCATTTCTATCATGCGCAATTTTTCTAGCATCTTCAAGGATATATCGGGGTCTACCTCCTACACAATGTGAACACCATGTGTTTTTATTTTTTACATTACTAAGACAAGCATTTCATTCATGACCTATAGCACAATGCCATAATAAGGGTAATTCATTATTTATAAATTTTCCAGAAAGACATTCACCATTTCTATCGTGCGCAATTTTTCTGGCATTTTCGAGTGTACAAGGATTTCTATGTGAACATTTCATACACCAATTTTTATTATGTATAACATTATTGTAGGTCGCTGACCATTCATGATTTCTGGAGCATCTCCACTGTAATAATTCTTTGGTAGCTGTACATTGGGTAGAAAGATATAATCCGCCTCTATCTATAGCAATCTTTTTAGCAATTTCAAGATGAAAATGATGCTGACCTGCACAAATGGGACACCAAGTATTTCTATATTTTATTCTATCGAGTGAAGCATTCCATTTATGATCTTTAGAACATTTTCATCTTAATGATATTTTACTGTTAATAAATTTATCTGAGAGACATAAACCACCACGAGCTCTGGCGATATTACAAGCATCATTTAAGGTTATTTTTAATCGCATTAAGAATTAGCAAAGTTTTATATAGATAAATTTTATTCAAATTCTACACAAAAAATGAATCCATTTTTAAGTATCTATATCAAACCAAATCTAATAGGTCTAAATCACTAAATTCGATATAAATCACATAATCTCTAAAAACGCTATAAATCACTTAATCGCTAAATATGATCTATACTGATAAATGCCCAGTTTTGAGCGATACTGAATGGAGAGATAATTGTCAATTCTCAGTAATGCTCGATGGAGAAACCCCATCTGAATGGAAGAAACGAATCTGGAATCAGTTAATATACTATAGAAACAATAATCGCCTAGGTAGTGATAAGAAGCGATATCTTATTGCAAGAAAGTATGAACCTTTAGAAGGATATAACAATAGATTTTATGTTGAAATGAACATTGCTATATGTTATAGCTGTGATCAGTTTGTTTATGTCGATAAAAGAGTAGGATATAAATCATGTCTCAATTATAAGATGGGAGAACATTGGCATACTAATTGTACTGGAAATAAATATTGTGATATTAGCTTCAAAGAATATATGGAGCTTAAGCAAAAACCAGAAGTTGAACATGATATCTTTACAAGGTTAGCTATTTATCAGTATGAATTACGAATAGAAAATCTTATCAATAGAGTTAAACATATTCGAGAAACAGCAAAAAAGATTCGAGCTATAAATATCATATCACAGAAATGGCTTGAATACATAGCCCTGATGGTCTTCGTGCTTCAGAACTTGCTCAACATTATCAATTATTATGGGCCATTCGAGAAGAAATGCGACAAGTTAATAATATATAATACACATATCTATTTATTATTTATATAACTTATTTATATATATATATATCTTTAAAATAAAATCATCTGAGGTATCCCTGAGGGCTAGTACTTTAGACTTTATTTCGTTATCCCTGAGGGCTGGTAACATTTTTTTGTCTGTATATGTTACATAATTTTCATGAAAAATTCCAATTTTTTCTACAATATAAAATACAATATTAGTTTCTCGATACTATAACATGAAATTTAATAAAGCATATTTTGATCTGATTCGTCAATTACCTCCATCACTGATACAGGAAGCTTGGAGTCGTTTAATCTCTCGAAAAAGAAATCCAATGACCGAGAAGGAAGCCAGTGCAGTGAATCCATTGGTTGAGTCATTTTTAAGACATGAGATAAATAGATATCAAAAAAAAGTTAAAATATCACTGGCGAAATCCATCACCACTTGAAAATTTATCGTATAATATAGATATGGTTAACCAAGAATCCCAAACCCAAGATATTATTCCGATTTGTACATGTGATCAGGCACATAAGTGCCCTTGCTTTGTAAGTGAGAAGGAGATCAATCGCCGGATCAAGAAAGAGGTTGATGTTTTATTTTAGCAATTACTAGAATATAATGAAAAAACTTTTGGCAAATTTATGCGAGAAATTACTATAGGACATGAGGAGTGGATCAAAGCCAATAAGAAGTTGCGATGTGAGGTTGAAGAAAAGAAGATACAATTACAAGAGGCAGAAAAATTTCTAGAAAATCTGAAATCTCGCTCTACTTATTAGAAAGATCAAGTGCCTGGTTCCAACCTCTGCGAATATAAAAAGGGTCTTCCTTTGTCCTAGTCCGATCAATCACAATAAATTCTCGATCCTGTAAATTTTTATCAAGTATATCAATAACATTACGCCAATTTTTTGTATATCGCCAGGCAATATTTATTAGCTCATCATAAGTCCCTGCTCCATTAAAAAGTACAATATAATCTGAATTTTTTCTTACTTTACCTGGACAATCGAAGAAGCTTTGTGTTACATATATTGAACTGATATTAGAGTGGCGTCCTTCAGTGAAGTAAGGGACAATTTTATCTTGTATTTTTTTAGGCTCATTGCATATATCTTCGAATATAATAACTGTTCCTCTTTCAGGAGAGAATTCTTCTATCTTTGGTATTTTATCAGGCTTCATTGCTCAGAATGTAATATCTTCACAATATGGTTCTGAACTATTTGCAATTATTTGGTAACAATCACGAAGATGTTTATATTTTGGCTCCTTGAGGTGATGTCTGATCAAAACCAAATCATCATTCTTAATATAACGTGTTCCACCTTTTTTCCTATTAAACATTCGATTTATCTTGTTTCCAAGTAAAAGATTAATAACTTCATTGGTTTTCCCTGATCTAGTTCGCCCTGAGATCACTATATTGAATGGCCATTGGGGAGTACTATTTAATGCATTAAATCTTTCTATATTTTCGTATTCATCGATATTTAAAACCATCCTCTCAACTGGATCAAGCTTTTCAGTTTTCATATTGATCAAGATAAGTGATACTAATTATATCAAAAAATATATATATATCCTATGTTTTTTATTCTGACAAATTATCGGTATCTGACTCACTATTTATATCTGCTGGATTCCAGCCAGGAATACTGATATTAGGATTTCTGCTTATTAAAGTATTAATTGCTACATCAGAGAGATAATAACAATCTTTAATATTAAGGTCTAGCAAATTATGGCACGAATATGCTATTGCATATATAAATGCATCAGTGATATCACAGGATTCAAGAAGGAGACCTTCGAGTTTTGGACAAAGTTGTGCTATTGAACAAATAGAATCATCAGATATGGGATTACACCAAACAAGATTGAGATATCTAAGGTTTGAATGGGAGTGTGCAATTTTTTTAACTGATATATCAGTAATCCCTTCACAACCCTCTAACACATAGCTTTGCATATTTAGACAAGCTGAAGTAATTGTGCATATACCTTCATCCGTTATTTTTTGGCAATCAATTAAGCTTAGAGTGTGGAGTTTTGGGCATGATTTAGCAATTTGTTTTAATGATACATCGGTAATATTGCTCTTCTGTAAACCAAGATATTCTAAGTGTGGGCAGTTTTGTGCAATCTCGATTATAGATGCATCACTAATATGCTCATTATATTCCAATTTCAGGCAACGCAAATTAGTACATGATTGAGCAACTTCTTTCAATGATATATCAGATAGCTTAGAAGATCCAAGTTTTAGGTATTGTAGATTTGGACATGAATTCGTGATTTTACATAAAGTTGTATCCTTCATATTAGTAATATTACTAGATCGTTTTATACCTTTACTATTACATGAAACACTGAGAGATTCCAGGAGGCAAATTTGTGCAATCTTACTAACGACTCTATCAGATAAATCACGACACCATTTGATTTTTAGATGGCGTAAATTGGGACAGGATTTAGTAATTTCATATAGAGTTTTACCTGAGACTTTACAACTAGAGATATGAAGTCGAAGTAAATATAAAGCATAAGGTTTTTGATTCCCACACATTACCTTTTTGAATTTACTCCATTATATACAAGATTTTTTTAGATCACCAGTAAATTCAGCCTTTCTCCATAATATTGGAGCAGAGCATAAATACCACAACCGGTTAACAAATAAGATTGGATATAGTGCTTCATCTATAGCGAGGTATGAGAAAATTTCAGTTAGTATTTCTGGTAAGTTTAATGGATATAGTTTATTATACGGCATTGCTACTTATCTTTATAGATCTGTTTATTATATAAAAAGAAAATTATATCGAATATATTGATAAAGCTAGCTCTTCTAAGAATCAGAAATGGGTAAATATCCCTTCTCAATCAAAGTAATACGAATATAGGACTCTATATCTGAATCGAAGGGTACCTCAATGAAATCTATACCTTGTCTTTTACATATGTCCCGCTTTTTTCTGTCTCGCTGTTTTTGTTCTTCCAAATCAATCCTTCCTCGCTTGTGGAACATCGAATTAAGACTATAATGCTGAGACCCATTAAATTCAAACGCCAATTTTAGCTCTTTGTTATAATCATCCAGATGCAAGCCTTCTAAAAATTTATCTGAGCACGGTAGAAACTTCTTACCTAGCAAATTCTCAAAAATATATCTTGCAGAGCGCTCGCGAGTATGATGGCAAAGGGGATACCACTCAAATTTCTTCGTAATCAATGGATATGGATATTTCCACTGGTGAAGTCCATTCCCGCAAGACCAGAGATATACATTCAGGCCATTTATCCATCCAGTTTTCATAATACAAGTCCCATCACGCTTCTTAGCATATTGCTGTGCTTTGTCAAATTCGTTATTAATAATACGAATAAAGTGAACTAATCCAGTGCGTTGATTTTCTGATAATATACTTTGGGGAGGAAGTTGAAGCGTATCAATATCTACGTATAAGAGCTCTTCTCTCACAAATGCTCTAGAAGGGGCGTGTTCATTATCACTTCTGAGATAATATAAGACTGGCTCATTTTTCGGTACTATGATTTTTATGATAGGATGAATAGAAGGGCTAAATACTGGATCAGTCGCACGATGTGCCATTTCGAAGCCTCCCTCCCATTCTGCATTAGCGAGAAGATAGCGAACCATATCACCTTTCTTCAATTTTTCCTCGTCCTTTCCAATAGCTCGCTTTCGTGATACTGATAGTTTAGATTCGACCTTTTCCATCTTAATTGCTTTTATTGGTGCTAACCCCCACTTTGAGGATCCAGGAGCTCTAATGAGGTGCGTAGGATAATTATTAAGATGATCTATTACTTTGGGTAAATTCTTAACCCAGGCTCTTATTAATTTAGGGTCTTCAGATATACTTTCAACCGCATATTGGGTCTTATAAAGAATCTCTGCTAGAGTTTTATTGAATCTCTCCACAATTGCTGTACCATGATGGGAATATGGACCAATAACTCAGATTATAACATTATGCTCTTTCATTAACTGGCTTGTCTGTCCTGTCCATTCTTTTCCGTTGTCAGCTTGCAAAAGTGTTGGGTATGTAAGAGGGTTATTGGGATCATTATAAATTTTCCTGAATGCTTTAGCAACCTCTGAGCTTTTCTTTGACGTGAGAGGAACTGAGGTTTTGAATCGGCTAGCCACATCTAT